TAATGATTCTTCCTCCAATTCTGATGCCACGTTTTTCTTCATATAGTCCAATTCTCGGATTATTTGCTCAGCATATAGTTTGAATAAGTATGGGGAAAGGATACAACCCTGATGCACTCTCTTCTTGTTTTTTAACCATGTAGTGTCCCCTTGTTTTGTTCCAAGGACAGCCTCCTGGTCAGTGTACAGGTTCCCCATGAGTACAATCAAGTGTTCAGGAATCCCCATTCTTCTCAATGTTATCCATAATCCGTCATGATCTACACAATCAAATGCCTTTGCATAGTCAATAAAACACAAGTAAACATCTTTCTGGTATTCTTTGTCTTGAGCCAAGATCCATCTTACAACAGCTATGATATTCCTTGTTCCACGTCCTCTTCTGAATCCACCTTGCACCTCTGGAAGTTCTCTGTCAATATACTGCTGCAACTGTTTTTGAATTATCTTCAGTAATATCTTACTTGCATGCAATATTAATGATATAGTTTGATAATTTCCACATTCTGTGGGATCACCTCTCTTTGGAATTGGGACAAATATGGATCTCTTCCAGTCAGTTGGGCAAGTAGCTGTCTTCCAAATCTCTTGACATAATTGAATGAGTGCCTCCAGTGTGGCATCCATTTTTTGACATATATCAATGGATATTCCATCAATTCCTGGAGGCTTTTTCTTTGCCAATTCCTTCATCGTAGCTTTGACTTCCTCCTTCAGTACCGCTGGTTCTAGATCATATACCACCTCCTGAAATGGATGAAGATCTATCAGTTCTTTTTGGTACATTGACTCTGTGTATTCCTTCCATCTTCTTTTGATGTTCCCTGTACCATTCAATATTTTGCCCATAGAATATTTCAATATTACAACACGAGGCTTATTTTTTTCCTCAATTATTTCAGAGAAGTGCTGAGTGTGTTCTTCCCTTTTGGTTTCCTAACTCCAAGTCTTTGCACATTTCATTATAGTAATTGGCTTTGTCTGCTTAAGCTGCTCTTTGAAATCTTCAGTTCAGCTCGTTGATCTTGTCATTTCTTCCATTTGCTTTAGCTACTCTCTGCACAAGGGCAAGTTTCAGTCTCTTCTGTCAACCATTTTGGTCTTCTTTTCCTATCTTGTCTTTTTAGTGATCACTTGTTTTCTTCATGGATGATGTTCTTGATGTCTTCCCACAATTCTTCTGGTTTTCAGTCATTGGTGTTCAATGCATCAAATCTATTCTTCAGATGGTTTCTAAATTCAGGAGAAATATGTTCAAGATCATATTTTGGCTCCCATGGAGTTGTTTTAATTGGCTTCAAGTTGAACTTGCATTTGAGCAGTTGATAGTCTATTCCACAATCACTGCCTGGCCTTGTCTTGGGTGAAGATATTGAGCTTTTCCTTCACCTCTTGCCACAGATGTAGTCAATCTGATTCCTGTGCGTTCCATCTGGTGAAGTCCATGTGTACAGCCACCATTTGTGTTGTTGAAGAAAGGTATTTGCAATTAATGTCATTGGTTTTGCAAAATTCTACCATGCAATTTCCAGTATTATTTCTGTCACCAAGGCCAAGTTTTCCAACTACTGGTGATTCTTCTTTGTTTCCAACTTTTGCATTCTAGTCACATATGATAATTAACACCACTTGATTGCATGTTCAGTCAATTTCAGACTGTAGAAGTTGATAAAAATCTTCATTTTCCTCATCTTTGGCTTTGGTGGTTGGTGCATAAATTTGAGTAACAGTCATATTAACGGGTGTTCCTTGTAGGCATATGGATATTATTCTATCACTGACAACATTGTACTTCAGGACAGATCTTGTAACATCCTTTGTGATGATGAATGCCAGGCCATTCCTCTTCAAACTGTCATTTCAAATTACAGAGGGCAGAGAGGGGTGTATTACCCTCTTCTGCACAAGACCAATGAACAAGATGTCAAGGAAATGGATGTCTGTGCCTCGTGTGGAGAGAAGTCCATCACGTTCATTTCCTAGTCTTCCTGGGCACTGGTACACTCCTCTTACCCTTATCTTGGTCTTCAGCCAACATACACTGCCCAGTAGAGTCCACAGGGAGAAATGTCCTCCATCCATCCCTCTATTCATTATGAAACCATTAAGGAGATGTATATCTATGCCCTCTTAAAAAGTCAATTAAAGATATTGATTCTACATTGAATGTTGGGAGAAAAAAAAAACACTTCATTATCTGTAGCATGGTTTGGAAGAGAGAATGCAAACTCATCACAAGAAAGATAAAAATAAATGGAAAACATAGAGACTAGGCTAAGAAATAAGGATAGTAAAGTGAGAGGGTCATTATGATATGGAAAAAGTTCAGAACAAGATTTGAAGTTTTACATGCAAATTTACCTCTAGGTTTAGGAAAAACACCAAACAATATAATCCAAGGAACAAATACATCCCAATCATCTATGGGTCATCCAAGAGAATCCAATCATATCACATTTTCTTATATATCAGACTGAGGTTCACTGCCATTCATACAGTTACCAGTAGCCAAAACTTTCACAAGTGGATGATTCCGTCCTACCCAGCTTGTCTTACTCTGCAAGCTCCGCTGAAACCTGTCCATGGTTTTTCTTGCTGGTATTTGAAATACAGTTGGAATTACCTGAAGCCTCACAGCAACATGCAAGTCACCACAGTACGACAAATAGACAGTCGAGTGGTCTGTCGTGTATAAAGCTCTACCAAGGGGGTATCTTCCCTGAGAATGTGCCTCCCATTCCTCCAACTACAAGGGGTGTATTGAACAAGGGACCAGCTCCGGGTTCTGAAACTCACCACCTTGTGGGTTTTGGAATGTCAAGACCAGAGGACTACTCACCCTCAAGTTTTAGGAGCAACAGTGATATTGTCAGGCCCATTCTTGATGGACACAGACTCCTATGAAGGGCACCTTTGCATTGATGACGCGGATGAACTTCATGGACCCACCTTGCACTGCACAGCAGTTTAAGAAGTCACACCAACACTTCCTCCCACCCTTCCAGTGAGCAGACAGGCATCGTGCCTCACAGCTCCCCCGTCTTCCTGGGCTCCTCTGCATTGTCTCTCACACATGAAATACAGGAAAACTGAGTCCTGTCTTGTTGCTTCCATCTTACAGAACCCAGACTGACACATGTTGGTGTTGTTATGTACCGTCAAGTCAGACCCGACTCATACCGACTTCTCCTCGGGTTGCCGAGGCAGTATCACTATGGATGTACATTGCCCAACCTTCTTTCCAAAGAGTGCCTGGTGGATTTGAACTGCCAGCCTTCTGGTTAGCAGTCAAGTGCCTTAGGCAATATGCCATCAGAGCTCCTAGACTGACACATAATCTATAATAAAGTTATAATGCTATTATATGCTGATATTGCAAATATAAACCCCATGTTGTTATGTTGTTAAGTGCCGTCGAGTCGTTTCCGACTCATAGCGACCCCATGCACAGCAGAACGAAACACTGCCCGATCCCACACCAGCCCCAAAATCCCTGCTATACTCGAGCCCATCATCGCAGCCAC